GAAAATTTTGTCAACATCCAGCAAAGTAGAACTTAGACATAGAGTTCGAAGCAACAATATCTGCCCGGAAACACTTTTCACAAAGCACAAGAAGCCGTGTTCGAGAGTGTTCATTGAAATGTTGTCTACAGTAGCAAATTTTAAAAGAAAAAATATTTATCAGTGGTTGAAAGATGAATAGACAGTGGTTTATTCATAAGCTGCAGTGCTCTACAGCAGTTTAAATGAATGAATTACGGCTGTGTCAGCATGGATAAATCCCCAAACTGAATGTTGGGCGCAAAAGAAGCAAGCCTCAGGACATACATTATGAAAGATAAGATTTATGTAGGTAGAAAACGTCACAAAGGTAGTTTATGATGCAGATATTTGTTAAATCTAGTAGTGGGCATATGATTGGCATCTCATTATGCTTTTTTTGTGTGCTGCAAATAATTCCTAAAAAGACAGAAAAAAAGAAGAAGAGAGGAACTCACACACACACACACACACACACACACATACACACACAGCCATGGAATAACCTCCTGTAACCAGAGTATCCTGAGCCAGGGCACAGAGGCTGAAAGCCCAGCGGCCTTACCTGTCTTACCTGCTGCCTTCCAGGTGAGCTCTGTGCCTTTCAAAATGGTCACCAACATCGTGTGAGGCCCATGGTGGGTGCTCAAAGCATGTGTGTGTGATGGTTCCAGCTTTCTGAACATTTATGAACATTTTAGCCTGGTGTTAAGATTTGGGAGGCTAGCTTTAAAATTGGGAAGATGAGGCTGTTTCCTCAAAGTAACCACCCAGGCAAAGGTCTGGAATCACAAGGCGGAGGATGGCCTGCTTCCTTGTAGAAGTGAGTTCTGCAGGCACAGCTGCCTCTTCAACGGGCCTGAGGCCTCTCTGCCAGCTGCCCCTGCCCGCAGGCAAAGGGGGCCTGCAGAACTCTGTGGCCATTGCGGTGTGCGGAATTCCGGCAGGGAGGACCGAGTCCAGGCCACCCTCGGTTCCACTGACCTGCGGGCTCCTTGAGATGTCTTCAGTGAGTGAAACCTGTTTCTGTCAGCCTGAGTGAGCAGAAACTGCCGGGGTGTGGAGGGAGCTGGGACGTGGAGTACCCTGTATTGGGAAGTCTCTACTCGCAGCAGCCACTTTTGGAAAAAGTAAAGTCGGCGTGAATCTGCTGTGCAGCTGGTAGAACGAGAAACCGTGTGTGGTGTGGCACACACCGCCTTGGATGAGGGCTATTGGAATTCTGGAAGGAAACTTGTTGTGACACTTTCATGCGGGGAGCCCTGAGAATTTAGCTCTTATAAATAAGACGTTATATATAGTAGGAGGAAAAACCACTAGATGGAAAACAGCTTAGTACTGTGTCGGTGGGATAATATGATTTCAAGTCCAGAAGGAGCTTTATGACTATCTGAGTTAAACCTCTTGTGTTGATGATGGAATTGGAGCTTGACAAAGATTCTCTTCTTGACCAAACTCTAGTCAGGGTCCTCTGAGCTCTTTTCAGCCAGGCCCTGTCCTTGGGTTTGTCCTCAGGAGCCCCATTTTTAGCAAGAGTCCTGCAGGCTCAGTCCATTCAGCCAGAGTCCCCTGAGATATGGGGACCCTCCCCTTCTCATCGTGCTCGATATCTGACCGAATTCCTCAACTCCACCAGGCCCCAGGTGATGTCCGATCACCCTGGCCTGCCTTCAGCAAAAATCCTGTCCGCTCGGTTTAGCAAAGAATTTTTCTGCCCTCTTAGTCATGTCCATCTGCTGAACCCCACCCTTCTCTTCGGCTGAAAGTTTCTCGTGGTCTTTGGAGTTGTTATTTCACTCTTCACCTGCATACCCCGCTGCAGTGGTCCTAGATGAAGTCTGCCTTACCACCTTGACAAATGTCAGAATCCTGTTTTTCTGTATAGGCTAAGAGAGTCAGCTTATCCTGGCCGACACCTTGAGCACATTTCAGATTCACTCCTACATTCTGGATTCCCAGACTCAGGTTCAGTATTCTTTCCCCACGCCAGGATGTTGTGATGCCTTCAAAAGTATGCAATTAAGAAGCAATTCATGTTTTATTTGGGTTAATGAAGTATGCAAGTGGCAGCCTAGAGACCGTAGTCTGCCTCCTCCCCTGCCCTGGGCAGGATGGGAGCTCAGGGTGATTTTTCATTTAACCTTAACACTGGTCTGAGTGAGCTCAATAGATCCCTCTCTGGCACCGGGCTCTGCTGGACCTTACAGGCTGTGCCAGTTGTGCAGCATCCAAATGGTCAGGAGTGATTTCTGGGTGTGGCTACGTGTTGAGTTGCCCCTAGATATTAGCAGTGGGTCGAGTGCCTGTGAGTAGGTTTGGGAACGCTCATTTACAACTGCAAATAAAGGCAGAGCCAAGCAGTGCAAAGTCAACATGCCCACTGTTTGTTTTATATTGGGCATGGTGCAAGAAACTGGGCCCTTCGAAGAAACTGCTGTTGTGTTTAGGGAGTGATAGTCAAGAAAGAGGTCCCAGAGTAAAACTGGAATGACCAAAAGAGTAGGATAAAGGCTAAAATGGAGATAGGTACAAGATGGTCTGAGAACAACAACTGGAATTGTGATTAGGCTGTGGGATGGAGGGTGACCCTGGAGTTGTGTGTTAAAGGTTGAAGGGGAGTTTACCAAGTAGAAGAGAGAGGGCGTGGACAGTTAGGCTAAGGGATGATGTGGGCAGAAATGGAGAGGGATGAAAATGCAAGACATGCAGGAAAGTTTAATGAGGCTGCAGAGAAAAGGGTAGAGAAGCAAGTAGCTGGAAATAAGTCTAGTAAGGGAGGCGGGAGCCAGATTTTACAAGACTGAGCTTCACAGGTACAATTTCACAGGACGCAACCAATCAGTAATTACCAGCAGGGGGTGAGATGGACAGATCTGGGTGATTGAAATGTCACCTGATGGTACCTCAGAGGATGGTGGGAGGGCAGTGTTGCAAGACGAGCATCCAGCTGGGGGAATGTGGCAAAAACGATGATGCTTGAGCCAGAGGATTGGCATGAGAATGGAAAGACCAGGGGTCTGAGTTATTTAGGAGATAGAATCATTACGACTTGGGGACTGAGCTGGGATTGAGAGATAAAGGCAAAGAGAAAGATTGAGAGTGATTCCCAATGCCCAGGGCAGCCAGGAGACAGAAGATAAGAAGTGAGTTTGTGTGGGGGACTGATTGTTAAAGTTATAAGAACCAGTGACACTGTGGAGCCAGTAGCCTAGGGAAAGATTTGAGATATTAATGTTTTTTATTCAGTACTTGTGCTGAGTGTGCATGATGCAGAAGGCCTGATTCTGTACATTTTTGGGGAAGGAGAAGTGAATGTCTTTTTTTTTTAATTTTATTTTCTAACATTTTGGTAAACCTACACTCTTCAGGAGGTTTTCCATGTGTTCTATTTTTACATCCTTACAAACACCCCATGAGATTAAATTATCCCCATTTTTCAGATAAGAAATTTGAGGCTCCAGCAGGTTAAGTAACCTATACCTGGTCATAGAACCAGAGAGCTGCAGATCTGGGGAAGAAAGAGAGGTTTTGCTGTGCCCAAAGTTCACATTCTTTCCTCTTGCCATAGTGTTCTCTGAAGTGCCTTGTCCTTGAGGAGCTTAGCATTGAACTTGGTGAAACAGAACATAAACTAATATTCAAGAGTCAAACAGAGGCATTTAGTGAGCCTTGGGCACATAATGGGGGCATTCATTCTGAGCAGAGGATGGAGATGAGTGTCCACTGGGAGGAAGGCTAGTGAAGTCTTAATGGAGGTGAGGGTAGGTATTTAAGTTGGGTCTGGGGACATGGAATGTGGCAGGTCAGACGAGGGTTGGGATAGTCCTTAAAGGTCATCACAGTTTGACTACTCGTTTGTAAAGCCTGTCTGTGGTCTAGGGCAGGAACAGATTAGAGTTCCAGGGGGCGGGGGAGGGGGGTAAAGGTTCATGAAGAGGGCAGGGGTGGGTAGTTACCACGGAGTCAGCTCACAGCCAGAGTCAGAAACTGAAGAGGCAGAATGAAGGCCCCCATGATGTCCGTTGACTATAGAGAAAATGAACTGGCTTCTGTGACTTAGTGGAGGAAGTTTTATGAGTCTAGCCAAAGAAAGTGATGGCAGAGAGGGGGAGTGCAAACCTGGTGATACCGATAGTTTGGAAGGCGGGAGGTATGTGAAGAATGGCTGGAGGGAGGGTGTGGGAAGGAGGTGAAAGGTGGCAGGGAGGTTGGCTACTTGGGTCTGTTTGGCACCCGCTGACCTTTCTCTACTGTGGAAAGGCGAGGTGGACAGGAGGGGGCCTGGGAGCTGGCCGGCCTGTGTTCTCTCTTTTGGCATAGGGTCAGAGCCCTGCAATTAGGCCCAAATGAGGAGCGGGTGGCCAGCAGCGTAAGTGGAATGATGAAATACTGGCAAGCAGTTCAGTGACGCTGGCACCCTGACACCATTGCTCCTACAGGAATCATCAAACTCTGTGGCTGCTGTGGCCTCATCTGGCCACTGTCCCCCCAGCTCTTGGGTAGGGCATGTCCTGCCTCTCTGACAGTCTCCTTCAAGCTCAGCAGAGGGGGTGTGAAGTTGGTTGTTCCTCAGTGACCTCAGGAGACTGTCTGGCCTTTCTGTCTGTGGCCTCTTTTGCAACCGCTCCTGCCCGTGAGAACTGCAGTGCCAGGTAGAGAACCGGAGGCACCGAAAGGCTGGGCTTGTGCATAGTGGGCCAGTGGGCAGGACCGGCAGCTGCTTCCGCAGCACATCTGCCCACAGGGCAGAAATGAGCTCTCTGAGAAGGGCCGGGGGCAAAGGCAAGTGAGCTTAGGTAGTAAGCAGATGCATTAGTCTGTTTGTCTAAAATTAAAGGGGTCTTTTATCTCTGAAAAATACTTTAAAGCACTCATGTCATTTGGGAACAAATGTGTCGTCTGAGGAGAGACTGGCTCCTCTTTAAACACAAAGCCCCGCCCTCCCATCTAAAACAGTCTTTGCCTTTCTTTCTCACCTGCAGGTCCACAAATTATGGCACCACCTATGAAAAGCTGAATGACAAAGTGGGTTTGAAGACTGTCCTCAGTTACCTCTACGTCAATCCCACCAACAAAAGAAAGGTAGGAGGAGGGGTCAGTGGGTCCTGAGCACCTGCTGTGGGGCAGCAGGGCTGCCTAGGGCCAGGAGTTGTGAGAGAACAATAGCCCCGGAAATGCGTATAGAGGGTCGCTTTATATGCTAATGCTAGCGCAGACACTCTGTAATTCTAACAAAAGTAGGAGTAGCAATAATAATACTAACAACAACAATAGTAAAACTACATGATTATGTGAGGGGCTCCTCTGTGCCAGAGACGCTGCTCAGTGCTTCACCTTATTTCATGTATCCTCACAAAGAATCTGTGGGGGTAGAAATGATCGTTGCCCCCATTTTGCAGATAAAGAAACTGAAACTCAGAGAGATTAAGTAGCCAATAACTTTCTAGCCTGGATTTAGACTGTTAAGGAGCAGATGTAGGATTTGAGAATGGGTCTGCTTGACTCCAGGGCCGAGTTTTTCTTTAGTCTCCCTCTGGCTGGTCTGAGTTCAGCAGGTGTTTTTCCCCGGGGAAGGTTAGGCGACTCTGGATCCATCATCTCGATCCAGAGCTGCTTCTGACACCTGGGATAGCAGACCTGACTCTGCCAGCTTTGTGCCTGTCTTTCCTTTCGATTTAATAGCCAGGACATGGATGAAGTCACATAAAATTGGATTTTAGTCATGGAGAGGGGGGCCTGGATTCTATGAAACATTGACCAATTTTAAAGAGTTTATTTATTCATTTTTAGAGAGGGGGGAAGGCAGGGAGAAAGAGAGGGAAAGAAACATCATGTGGTTGCCTCTCAAGCACCCCCGTACAGGGGACCTGGCCCACAATCCAGGGGTGTGCCCTGGCTAGGAATTGAACCATCGACTCTTTGGTTCCCAGGCTGGCACTCAGTCCACTGAGCCGCCCCAGCCAGGGCCCAGTTTTAGAAAGTGAATGCTGTCTGATATATTGGCTTTGAGGAGAAGTGATCTATTCCCAGCTAGGAAGGTACTGCTGTTTAGAAACTGAGGCAGGCCTGGCCCCACCCCAATAGACATACTAGGGATATAAATGGCTATTTCAGTGTTTCTAAAAGGCTGAAAATGGCACTCCCAAGCTCTCCTCCTGCAAACTGGTGTGCATTCCCCAATGGTTTTGCAAGCCCTTTCTTCAGCGCGATAAACTCGATAAACTCAGGTGTGAGCTTCAGCCCATTGTACAAATGTCCCTGATCCCCGATTCCAACTTGGTGCAATCCAGCAGGTGACTTAGAATGGTTGTTTATGCTGCTTAATTTAAGGCAGAGCAGCTTTGACTGAAATCCTTAGCATCACAACTCCCAGCCCTACCCCTTCACCTTACTACCGATATCCCTAAATATCCCCAGCAAAAGAGAGGACCCAGAACTGGCGATGCCTGGGTCAGTATTGGTGTGGATACCCAAAGATCCAGCTTGCTCCATGGGTCTCTGGATCTGGGAACATGCCCACTAGTCAAGTGCCCAAATCCTGATCATTAGAACAGCTATTTAGGCATCCATTACTAGTTTTAGCTGAGTAGTTTCTCTTTGTCCCAAAGCATTGCCATTTTTATATTTTTCAGTATTGTTATTTGACTCATTATCTGTTAGAGCTGGAAAAGATGATAGATTTCACCTATATAAGCAGTTATTCATTGTTTTTTTTCAATTTCATTTCTTTTGCAAAAATTATTTAAAGCTCTAGATTTCCTTTCTAGAAACATGCCTCAGCACATGAAATTTGAAAACAATTTATAGGAGTTTGTAAACAGCTCAGATCCCACCATGGACCAAAAATGTTCATGGAGTCTTGGTTAAGAATCTCTCATCTACTCCAGTAGCCTAATTTAACACATGAGAATATGGAAGTCAAAGTAGCCCACACGGTCAGGTAAAAACAGAGCCAGGTTGGAGCCCAGCACTCTGGGTTCTCAGTCCAGACCGCTTTGCTTCAGACCACATGGTATGCCCTTTCCTCCCCTACAGTCACGGCCAAGGGTTTCAGACTTGATGATCTGGTTCCAACATGGAAGGCAGGGCTTCATGACCTTGATCGAAAGCTTGGTGCCATGTCCACCATGAATACAGGATAAAACTTGACTGAGTGGAGTCAGTGATGATCTCTTTCAGTTCTTTCCTCTCCCTTCTCTCTTCATGGAGGAGGCAGCTGAGGCCCACAGTGGATGCTTGTCCCACCCAGGCCCCTCAGCTGTTAGGGGCTGAGCTGGCTGTAGGTCTCCTGGTTCTCAGTGACTTCAGGTGGGACAGAATCATAGAAGGTGTATGCCCTTTGGGGGAAGCAGGAAGTGGTCACGTGACACATGGCAGATGCCCCTCAGTGCTGATCTCTGACCTACGTCTGGACCACAACAGAGTTAATCATGTTTCCATGTAGGTGATAGGTCAGCTGTCCCCATGGGGCTCTTCCCAGCTGGTACATGAAAGTGTCACACCTGTGTTCATCCATTTTGATAGTCATCCGTCAGCTGTGTTGCCCGTTAAACTCCAACTACCTGTCCTTTGGTCTGTGCTGTTTTTCTCTATGTCTGACTGTTTTAACTCTTCTACAGGTGCTTACAGGTACTTACGAGTGTGAGACATGAGGGGCAGGTTAAGATAGACGCCGAGGGTAGGAAGGAACACGGCCGAGGTTTAGAGACACCGGCCGCAGAAGTGCCATCTCCATTTCTCCTTTGTAGAGCTGATGTCAGACCAGGGGCTCTCACGAGAGTTCACACAGGAATCAGTGCCCAGTGAAAAGCCGGGCCCATTTTCTCCATCTTCTCTCAGAAACACCGCCAAGGCCCAGTTGACTCCCACCTTCCCAGGTGCGTTCCCACCTGGAAAGGTCTGAGCAGAGACATCTTCTTCACCCAGCTTGGAGAAAGACAAGTGACAGGCTAATGCCATGGATTTATTTTTTTAAAAATGACAATAGAAATTAATTTCATAAGGAGACTATGATCCCAGAGTGCTTTCTGAGCCACCCAAGGAAAGGTGAGATTAGATGCTGTTTCATTTTATTGTTAAGTGTTTTTCATCATATTCTGAGCCTGTAGACACTTAACTCATGATGCACAAATGTTCTACGTAGTGACTTCCTCTTAACCAGGATATTCAGTTTGCTGAAACTGTCTTGCACCAGCCACTCAGGCAAAATGGCAGTTAGGTATAAATGGAAATACTCTTACTTGTTACACTATTGTTCTAGTGCTCTGGGTCATTATGACCTTGAAATGCAGTTTTTTGTGTGTCCTACTTACATGCGTCTTGAAGTTTAAACCTGTGGTTATCTGGATTCTCATCTCAGCAAGAGCCTTTTGATTCTCTCAGCACCCAGATTATCTGTGGCTCCCCATGTTCATTAGCCAGCTCACAATGGTACTTTACAGCAGACTTTTCAGCAAATCTGGTGGAAACACTGCTTTTTACTTAGTGAGTAATAGATGGCTATTCCTGTCCTTGGAGCCTGTGAGTATGGTAGAGACCTGTTGCCCCTGGCAAAATAGTAAAGTGCGCTTGTATTTATGTATTTGCTCCTGAAGCTAATTGTTGATTTTCTAACACCTTTTTGATGACATGAAATCTCCAGATGCAAATAGCAGATAAGCCATTAAGTTAAAAGTAGAAATGCTAACAGGGGTATAGTCTCCTTCTATCAGTAATAATCTTAACATTAATTGAGTACCTACTACACTAAACTTCCTTTCAGGAGTTTAATCTTTATGATCTGCAATCTGCCCAACCACATTAGGAAGCAGGCAAGATAAGGAAATAGACTCCAATTACCCCAAAGCTCTATTACTGTAAATGGTGGTTCCACAGCAGCCTTCCCATTGGTTTTATTTGGTGCACATAATGGTCAGGATGTACCCAGTATTGCTGGATTCCCTTAAGGAAGTTGACCTTTGGACGAATAGTACCTACTAGTATTCTACTAGATGAAACTACATTGCTATGAAGTGCTGGGAGCTTCCCTCCTTGAAGTTGTTCTAGAGTCTAGAATCTAGACCATCCATCAATGAGGTGGCATTAGCATTATTTTAGTGATTGGCTTTAGTGATTTAGTGACCTGCTCTGGTTGCATTTGATGTGAATTTCTCCACCCCTCACTATTCACTTTTCTCCAAACACTGGCCACTTAGTTCGCAGCCTGGGTGATGTCTGAGCCTGGCACTTCGAACACAAGGAGGAGTTGGGTTAGTTCTAGAAGCAGGTGTGTGGGGGGTGGGCCTCTGGCAAAAGGGGCTCTGCCATAGTGGGTCTGAGCTCCAGCTCACTGTTAGCTGGCTCTTATCCTCAAGATCATGCAGCATGGCAGGTGCCAAGGTTAAGTCCAATAGAGCTGTGCTTTGTGCAAATAGGCCGAAGGCTCTGTGCCTCAGCATAGGAGGGGCAGGAGGGGCATGGCTCTTGCGTGCATCTATTTGAGAACAAATCTGTGTGGATAAGAAAATATAAGCATGTTATGTTCTAATAGCTCTGGCTCAAAAGTGTCTGCCACCTGCAGATTTGGAAACAGTGTTTTGGAAAAGGCTGAGAACATAGAAAGGTCTGCCTTCTAGGGAATGTGACCAAATAATGGCAGGGTGGAGACATGTGTGCCCCTGGGCACATGGGAGGAAAACTGTGAGGCCGACATCAGAACAGGGCAATGACTTTTTTTTCTTTAGAGCTCCTACTAAGTTCTGCGTACTGGGCCAAGTTCATTTCTACACTCTGTTCTAAGTTTCACTACTAACTCCCTGAGCCTGGTAGTTTTATCTGCATTTGATGGCTGAGAAAATTGAGGCTCAGGTAGGTGAGCCTCTTGCTTTTTATGAAGAAGCTGGTAGGAGAGGGTCCAGGATCCCCATTCACCTTGGTCAGACCACTAGGGTCATGCTCTCTATTCTGATCTCATGCAGGTGAGCTGCCCCCACCACAGGTACAAACACCAGGTCGAGTACCATCATTCCTCTATTAGTAGTGGTAACTTTGTTGCCTGGGGTTTTCTGCCCATTAAGTGTGAGAGGATTAACAGTCTTTTACAG